TTATGTTTTGTTAAACATTCTTCGTTCCTAATGGCAGGAATGTAATATCACGAATTTGAAAAGTTGAAATTTATCATATCGAATTTCGAATGAAAAATTTCCACGTTACATGGAATTTCATTTATTGCCTAGCAAGAGAATAGGGCAATTCTATGATAGGATTATTTCAGCAGAATATATATATTCAGCAGAAACAAAATATCTTCTTGTAATAAAGTAATATTTATACTAGAGCTAGTATACTTACCCGAGTGTAAGAGATACTCGGGTACTCAAATACCCGTGAGATACTCGAGAACAAAATTACCTGGGTGTCTCGTGAATTACTTAATATATAACTAATATATAACTACCAAGGAGTCAACGTTTTCAATAATATTTTCAGCTGTTGATACAAATACATGTTCAAAGCTGGCAGACGTGGTAGATAATATTGTTGAAAATACATTGTTAGACCAATGTGAATAGAAATAACAGATGTGTAATCTCAGCTATTGAGTAATTTCTGTTTACGAATACCCGGGTATCTTGTAATTAACAGTTCTAATTCATACAGTGTTGACCTATCAATGCACACTATATCAATATATAATATTTCTCTGTGGCGATACTTGGTGGCTGAAAAAGATATTCCCTGCGTCACATATATCGACGTCCGAATGACTTTCTTCCATACGGTCCGCGAAAGATGTGTCCATCATCATCGTTCTCCGCGATGTAACCCGGCAATTCCTTCGGGAGTAACAGACGCGGAGAGAAAGTGGCCGATCCGGTGGATCCCAGTTGTCCATTAACTCGCCGCCCTTTAATGCATCGTCCAGACTGGCGGCAACCTCCACGGTGTTTTGACACTCGACGACGCGTGACGCCCGCTGTACGTCGCCTGATCCATTTTGCAGCGCGATTTATTCGCGTCAGCCCCATCCTCCTCGTATCCCATATCGTATATATGTTCACCCCGGCGTAGAATCGTCGTGGCGCGATAGAGAAAACGTCCTCGTATTTCATCGAAGACACTGGAAAGGAACGCGGTGGAGGAGAAAGATTCCGGAAACGGACGAAGTGCTGCCATCCCAGCAAGATGTGTGGTTAGAGCCGGAAACGCGCGGACAGAGGGTATAAATTGAATTCGGGGCTGCGCATCCGACGCGTAAATGCGACTTCGCACACGCCCTTTAAATTCCCGATGCTGCACCATCCTCTCCAGTCGTTTACTGCAGCGTTGGACAGCCGTTACCGGCCGGAAAATGCCAATAATTTCGACTGACGATCTTAGCGTGTCGATCTTTCACTTGGGGGGTTTCAAATTTGATGAGTGATTACAATTATACAGAATACTTTATCTCTCTTTATTTGACAATTCATTTGTTTCTATTTCTTCCACATATACTACAACGTAATGAACTATTGCTTGGTGCTTGACACGTTAAGTAGAATGTTACTTTTTTTCATTCGAACCGTTTTCAAGTTGCGGTTCGTGCATAAACGTGACAAGTGTTAGTTACGGTTTTCAGTTACAAACTCAACATAGTTATAAAAAGGCTGAAAACGTGTAACATAATTGTGGACAGTATCGGCGATCTTCATTTTCCAGAAAGTTCACATTTAAAATTTCACTCTCTCGAGTGAAAGAAATGATACATTTACTTCGAGAACAAATTTCAAGTCCAATCAAAGATTGGACGTAGAATAAATTCTACGAGTATTTTAGAATGTCAACCTAAACATCCTGTTGTATATTAAATAAGATTAAAAAATATATCTGTAAACTTTCGTTCGTGTATATTTGACTAGAGAGAAGTAAGAGAATTCGTGCGGTCAATGTATTTTTGACGAATTCGTGCGACTTTCATGCAATCAATCCACTCACATATGAATTAATCGATTCGGTTGATCTAGCGTGTGTCGTGAGAGCCGCAGCCACAGTCGGAAATACAATAAGAGATTCAATCGTAAGTTCCACATCTCTCTTATATTTCCCACCGGGGATATATACCCTATATATCGAATACAAACCAAGAACACGGCTATTGGAATTTCTTTAGCAAACCCGTGATAGAGGCAACGAAGGACGATGTGGAAAAGCACGAAGAGCAAGGATCGTTCGGACGTTTATCGGAGACACGGTGGTCGACGGGATCAGGCCTCAAATATTCTCGTCCGGGTTGCGGTAACCTGTGGCTAGCTCTCGGCTTAGATACACGGAGCTTAGATCCGCCTTGGCTTTGGTTCGAGACCCTCGCGAAGGCGATACGTCAACGTCATAATGGGGGCCATAAATCCGGCTCGCACGCGCCCAAACCTCGCACACGGAGACCGCACGCGGACCACGGTCCGCAACCGTCCATAATCCGTCCGCGTGTCCCCGCTACCTCTCTCTATGCGCCTCCAACTTAGTTTGCACGCTGACTTTGTTAGATACTGCTGTGTTCATCCATCACCGACGTCCGCCGATCGCCGATGGATATCCACGAAACCCGTCGCGTAACGTGGGAATGTTTCCAATCCCGTTTTCCAATCTCCGTGTTTCCGCCCAGTTTCTACAATTATGCTCGCTCGTGGTTACTCTGCTTTTTGCTGAGTATTAGCATTGGTGCTGAAATAGACTCGTAATAGTAAATAAAGACACGGTGAAGGATTAGAAAGATGCGTCGAGCAGTTGAAGTTGGAAAAAATTAATTCATATTCATATGTAATGAACACAGTTCTGTATTTCTGTATTTTTTATTTTTCTTCGCAAAAGAAACGTCGCACTACAGCTCCTAATCTCGACCACGATACGCATCTCACACGACGTTGTTCGATTCGATTTTCCTTGAAATTCGAATTACTTAATAATTAATTTGGTTTAGTTTATATTTCCATTGGACATTTCGTTTAATGTTTATTATAATAGATCAGGGTTCAGAAGCATCGTGTAGGTGAAGATGGTCATTAACCCACGAACTTATATTTGTTATCATCTAGAAACGGTTAGCATCAATCGTCTTATCGATGCTTTAATTTACCGTTATTAGATGATCTATAGCAGAGCGATTAAACGGCTCGTCTTTTAAATCTGATTAGCTAGATTATGTTATATAACAAGCTAGATAATAAAAACAGGCTGGCGGTCGCGCGTTAGAAACGATTTAATTCTCAACCTGGTATAGTTTTTACGTTGTCTATTGTCAATCAATTTGATTTTCCAAAGATATTTCGCGAAGTTCGCATTTAATTACCAATATCAAGTTCAGTCGGACACATTCACAGTCCAGTGCTGTGATATCGCACTTATTACCGAATACCCAGTTCCAGTCCAGTTGTTGTAACGACAAACTCAGTTATTGAATCCGCTGCCTCTACAATTCCTTATCACTTCCGCCGATCACGCGATATGAAAAAGAGAAACTTCTCTTCGTCCCTCGATCGTGTCAAGGGGGGAAAAAAAATTCCTCGAAAGTCCTCTGGTAACATCGCGTCGAGTAACCCCGAGCTTCGAGCACGCACGGTCGCCATATATTTCTCGGCGTGGTCGTGGCCATATCGCGATTCATTACACCGTGTTTAGATAATTAATAAAGCGCGGTCTATGTAAATAACGCGGCGGATATCGCGCGAGATCGGCCGAGATCCGGAAGGGGAAGTAATTTTCGTCCGGCGTGGCTCGCACGTTTCCTTGGCCGTTTTATCGTCGGACTACGAGGGCTGCGAGCGTGTTCCGTGTTTCATTCGCAATCAGCAACGGTAGCCAGCGGGCCGAACGTTGTGTGTCGTTGATGGCGGAGCGTAAGCGGTGGCAGTAACCTGAAAGTTATCGCGCGGCCAACAGGGTCGTAACGAGGACACCGCGTAGAATGCAGCTTACCGGTCGAAGGGACGACATTCTGCCGCGCTGTTATGGCCACTAAGGCTTGTTTACACTGACGTTGTCCACTGTGATAATACCGCCGCGCGCCGCAATCGCGATCATCGACACTCACCCTGACTCCAACTTACCGCGATTTCCTCCTGTTTCTTCATCCCTCCCCCTTTATTTTAATCCTAATTTCCTGATAATCACGTGTGAATTAACTTATCTAGAATCATGTTTAATCGAGAAATATTTTCCTCACTGCGTTCAATCATAATTACATTTGATATACGTAATAATTATTTTTACACGATGACGAGGTACATCATCGCGCCCGTGATATAAGTTCTGACGAGGAAAAATATATATCGTCAAGCTCGTAGTAAACAAAAGGTTGAAATATCAGAATAATACTTTATTGAAAATAAATATCAAGCATAAATGTGGAAATCAAAAGCGCACGATCCAGCACAATAATCTTGACCTCTTAGTTTACATTATTATTTTACATTATTTGTGACGTTTTTCTTTGTGAAGAGCCAAGAATCTAATAAGCAGAATGCTTTTCAATCAGTCGTGAAGGTTTAGGGGATTTTTCTGAAATAAAAGCTGTATTTTTCAAATATCTTTCTACATACATCTTTCGTACATTTTATAATAAAATGTGATCTATCCATTTATCTGCCAACTTTTTTTTTAAATATAGGATTTTACATGTAATACATCATATCCAAAATGTATAAAAAATTTTTAAAGTAATATTTTTTTGACTCGAGTTCGGATAATTCACAATAATTTCGGATTTTATCTTCATTTTCCCATGCTTTTCAACGAGTAGTTACATGGCTATGTCAGTCAAGCAACTGTGTTTTATAATAACTCGTCTCGTCCAGTGGAGTGCAATTTTAGAAGTGCAAATGACGAAATACGTCATACTCAATAGTATCGTTTACTTAACGTGACGAAAATCTCGTCATACCTGGAGCTAAAAAAGCTAATTGGAAATCAAGATGTTTGCTGATTCTAGGAACAATTGTTAATTGAATCTTGAATTAATTGAATCTTGAATTAATTGACAAATGATTCTAGGAATTAAGGATTCAGTTAAGGGACTCTTTATTCAGCTATAATCAGTATATTTTTAATTTATTTACTTTATTTACTTCGGATCAATACTGATTTTGGTACTCTTTTTATTAATTGGTAACTATCATACAATTGTGAAATTTACCATTACTTTCTGTACAGTAGTACAGAAAGTAAATCAATAGTTGCGTAAAAATTAATTTTATCTTCGAGAAATCTCTTCTTCCAACTTCATCCGGTTACTTCGATCCTATTCCGTCATGTGTTGCCTGCCTTTTGTCCTGCAAAACGAGATTTAGAATTACTTAAAATCTTTCAAACAATCCTTCGCTACCAGTTACGCAGCAATTCTATATAAGAAAAAGCTATCGTAGAAATTATTGCACAGGTCGATACGGAGGAACGTAGTCACGCGTGAAGAATGGTGTATTAGAACGAAGCGTATTTTAAAACTGTGTGAAACTATTGATACGTCAGCTTGGAACGATCAACGATACGCCGTATGCGTAGCTCGTAACCGTGTGAATATTATTTCTGTCCCGGGAGTTTTAAACCTTTTTAGTATGCAAACAGAGTCAGGTTCTCGAGGCAATATAACAGCGACGTTAAGGGTTGAAAGTCGCGAAGAATGTGTATATATATATATATATATATATATATATATATACATACATATATATGCTGATCGACCGGCTACGCAGTTACACAAGCAGTCGCTTTTTACACGCGATTTTTTAAATAAAATTGCAGTAAATAAATGCCCACAATTTTCACCTATTCACTCTTATTACCGGCAACTTTTTTTTTTTAAAGGTCTTTTAAGTTTATACTGAAACGTCATTCAGCGTATCGATGTTCAATATTCTAATAACAGAAAGAATTCGCAACTGTTATTTTCTCTTATTTCTACTTCATAATTCAAAAGTAGTCGGACAAGGTATAGCCTTAATTTCATTATAGTAAAATGAAATTCGACGAATACATTCATGTTATTACAAACCTTTTCGAGTGGCGCGGAGCGTGAAACTTCAACCACGATATTTTTTAATAAAGTAGGGAGACACACACGGATATGTCGATATATTGAGAAAAGGGAGAGGGGTGGGGAGATAGCAATTCCACAGATTTTTCGTTCCGTTGCTATTAGCATCGTGTCGGCGACATAGAGCGTTGCGATGTCAGCGCTGACAGATGCATGAAATTTTTCTAGAGTCCTTTCGAGTCTCCAGGATGCGAGTAACGGACGTCATGATTTCCCAGGGGTCGCGGGTTTCCCGTACATTTTCATACGAATGCGGTTCTACCGTGCCGTCGTCGCAGAACGTTGTAACTAGGCGACTGACCGCGGAATTTAAATACCATTATGAATATTTTTTCGCCTGGGTTGACTGGTGTCTTGCGGTACGAGAACGGAGAAAACGCCGTCCGCTCTCGATTTTCATACGAATTCTCGCTTTTATGCTCGGGGAACATCGTTCGCGTGGTCGTGAAATATGTATTCGATGCAAAGAGGATGTGTAGTCGACTGGTTTTTTTTTTTTCATTTCATTTCTTTCTTTCTTCTCTTTTTGTTTTCGTGAAAAAATGACGAACCACGTTTCACGCTACAAAATTTTCAGAGAATCCCCGTTCAACTCACGAATCAAAATTATTTAAACATCGTACAATGTCCATGCGAGAAGAGCTTCCTTCGTGATGACTGAGGAAGCCCGACTACTTCCAGTTGCTTGGATAGCCGAGCATTTTTAATAAACAGTCGATCGAAATCAATCGAAGAAAACGCGTGGCGAGTAAGGGGGATGCGAAAGACGCGAGAGAAGTTCTTGCTTGCAGGGGAGTGTCTTCTCCTCAAAGACGACGACAACGTCGACGACGAGGACGACACTTGCTGGTCGCCAAGAGCAACGTAGAAACAACCCCGTTTAGTACTCTCGGCGTGTCTGCGCCGTAGAGAGTACAGAAACGCCGAGATGGTAACGACGACGACGACGACGACGACGACGACGACATCGTCGACGACGTTAGTAGGGGCGGTAGTGGAACAGAGCAACATCGACGACGACGACGACGACGATGGTGATGGTGGTGGTGGTGGTCGTCGCGATGGTGGTGGACGAGAGATCCAAGCGAGAGAGGGTGGAAGAAGAAAGGTGAAGAGTGGGGTGGCAGGATGCGGGACGGCTGGTTACGGTGGTGTTGCGGGGTGTCGAGGGGATGGTCGAAACGGAGGGGCGCAGGAGGCAGACTCGAAGGACGGTAGGGAGGGCAAGGAGGTGGAAGAGGGTGGCCTGGGTGGTTGGTTGGTGATGCATTGCGCGAACTCCCCGCGGCGAGGTCACGTGACTCGTACCCCCGGCCTATCATTGATCGCTCCCCGGAGAAACGTCGGACACACTGTGCCCACCGAGCATTGTACCTTGCACCTTACCAGCTTTCCTACCGGCACATCCTCGCGGCGGGGACGCGCCGGAGACGTTGCGGAGACGAGGCGGAGGTATCCCAGCCGTTCCAACGGGAGCACCCTCCGGTTATCTAGCCCGCTCTCCGTGATCTTACGCTTTGTCCTTCCTTCGTTCCTCGTGGCGCCCCGGTAATGCTGCTCCTTTTCTCCAGTCCGGTCCGTTGCTCCGACACTGGCTAACCTATCGCGGTAAAAAGGGGATGATTTTCCCCGCTCTTTCCACCGGAGTGCCCTCCTGTTCGACAGGCTTTTCTGGAACTGTTGCTGGAGGAAAGAGGAAACTTTCAGTTTAGAGGTTTGTTCAGTGGGGATACACGAGGATTGAGAGATATTTTGACAACGGAGATTAAAACGGGTAGTAAACAGGGGTGGCTGCGTATTCGATGTAACAAGGATGTTTGCTCGAGTATGTTTAGAACTGCCTTTACAACCTGCTTATTAGAAGATCAAGCCTCATTTACCTTGAGCAAGCTGCACGTAATGAGTCATAATGAATTACGAGCTGCCTTGTAACGGGGAGATTTAGTGTGTACGAGCATCGCATGAGTCGTCCATGTGTTACTTGTAACTCGCTCATATATGAAACGAATATTTTCAAATCTCCGAGAGTCCGAGACCTAACACACGTTAAAATGATTTCCAAAAGAAATCCGCAGAATTTTCAAACGGAGTTCTCGAAGCGTAAGACAAAAAAAAAAAAAAGAAATTGAACTCGATGGCCGATAGTTGGCAGCGCGATTGCCAAGACCTCTCGCAACGAAACAGGTGCTACAAGCGGCAAGAAATGCGCCATATTAATTCCTCTGTGGTGGAGCAGCCTTTACACTGGAGTTCCCCATGTTCGATCGTGTTCATCGTGTAGGAAAAAGTGGTACACGTGCGGAACGGTCCGCGCGACACGAAGGTGGCTGGTTCGCTCGCAAAACCGCAGATCCGTCAGTTTGAACGCGCGTTCTTTTTAATTGATACGCGAATTCGAGGAAGCGCGAGTCGACCGGCACGTCACCCTAGTTGGCGTTACTCCCGTGTACGCCCTTTCCAAGGAAAACGGCGGAACCAGCTGCGAGTAGGACGGGGGCATTTCTCGATTATGGTAGCTCGACAAGAAGACGCGTCACTGGAAGCAATTTCTCGTGGTCTCTTCTTGTCGGCGGCCAGCATCTCGCCTTTATTTATCATTTTCCCTTGAAAGTTGAGAACGCCTGCTGCCCGATCAGTTTCCGGCATTTTCATGCTTAAACGCGCTAAAAATATGAGAGAGACGTATAGTAAAAAAGAAAAAAAATGTATACGAAGAAATTGCTACGTTCGTTTCGAATTGCTTCGTATCACGACAGACGTTTCGTGTCGTTTCCTTGTAATTAGCCCGATTTCCTCGAAAGAGCAGCGCGAAGGGAAGGAAGAGATAACTCGGAGGAGCTAGAATTAAAAGGAGGTAAAATCGAATGCAATCCGGTCCGGCTGATTGCTGTTAAAACGTACCAACGCAAATGTAAGGGATAACATTCTCGTAATAGTCCGGCGTAATAACGACCGTCGAGAGTTTGAAACTCGCGTCGCGCGAGTTGAAAGTAGTCAAACGACGCGAGCAAATCTTCCGGGCTAATTACTAAACGATATTTAATGGGCCGTAATAACGATCTCGCGTGTCTAGTAGCTGACGTGTGCCGCGTTTTCGCGTTTGTTCAACGTGCAATTATGAAAATTGCGTTTGCTTTACAGCTACCGGTGGTGATCGTTACACGTGTGAACGCCGCGGCCAGATCCTAGACGTGATTGCGCGCGCGCGCGCGCTTTATCGACGTAAATGCTGCGATAACGGTGCTGGCCGCCGTTAAATAGAGAAAAAGACGAGAAACAGCTCTAGAAAGCATGGAAGAAGTGGTGAGCAACGAGAGCGAATGAGAAAGAAGTAGGAGGAGTGGGAGGGGGAGGAGGAGCAAAATACGCTTGACTGCTGGCAATTTCTTCGCAGCGTTTTCACCGGCGTGTTTCCGCGTTCGCGATTCATCGTCTCGGGCGAGGCAAACGTTTTATTAGCGAGGGCTGCTAATTCGCAAGACTCGAGTCCGACCGTGGAAAACGTGATCACGTGATCCCGTTCGAATCACGGCCGAGCGAGATAATTAAATCTGTCAGATAATTAATAGTTTCTTCTCGTCCCACCTGGCTGAAGTATACACGTTCAAGTTATATTACATCGCGGCGAGCGATGAAAATTTATAAGAGTGTAATTTCATCGTGATTCCTCGATGATGTTCCGCCGCGACGGCCAGCGAAGAGATAAATGCCTTCTGAAACGGCCAGTACAGTTCGTTGCCCAGCGACCGACCGATTCTCAACGTATCAATTAGAGTTTGAAGAAATTACAGATTGAAGAAGTTGCGTTCCACTGTCTGGGAAAATTGTTGCCAGCGGTCTACGGCCGGGAACGCGATTGCAAAGTTTAAAGTCTCGAAGGAAACCGTAAAACAGATCGTATCACCTGTTTAATTTCCATATTTGATCGCACAGGCGTGTAACAATGCCGGGAATGATCGTTTTTTGTCCTCTCTCTTTGGAGGCGAAGTTGACTTGGCTCGAATCTTTCGTTGATCGTGCAAACGTAACGAGGAGCAAATATCGCGCGTTGAAAGAAATTACGAAGAGAATCCGATAATCGGATAAAGAGAGGAGAAACTGGAGGAGAAGCCAAAGTGTTCCTCGATGGTTTCGCGATGTCGGTCGACGAGGATCAGAATTTCCTGCGGTTCCTTTGTGATGTAAAGGGGCAAGGGAGAGAAAGAGGTGGCGAGGAAAATCCTCGGCAGCGAGGCGAGCAAGGCGTCGTCGTGGTGTCCTTTGAAATTAAGTAGTTACGCCGCCCTCAAAGGGGTGGTTCTACTTCGACCCGTTGCTCGCAGCTTGCTTCTTTCCCGCGAAAACTCTTTAAATCGTGCCGGCCTCGCCGCCTCCGGCGGCAGTTTATTAAAAGGGTGAAGTTTGAAGACGGACACCCTAGAGGCGGACCTTGCTTTTAATATATTTTGATTGATAGGATTAGCAGCCACTTAACGCGGTACCCCTCGTCCAAAGGCGAAAAGAAAGAGATCAGATTCAGGGTTTCTCGGAAGGGTTGCTCGGTATCGGCTGTCTAATTAGATTATTAATTCCTTGCACTCTGACTCGGCTCAAGTTGCAGTTCTCTTCGCGTCTGTGTGCCCGAAGTGAACGTTATATTTCAATAAATACTATCGAGATACTCGATGACAGTATCAAAGCAATAAGCTAATCAGTCTGAGCAGAATAAAGATAAAGATGAAGTAAAGAATAGCTGCGTTGTTGCCATTATATTTAAAAGATGATCGTAAAATAATCAAATTTGCAACAAAATAAAAATAATTAACAAATAATAACAAATTTCCACACGCTCTTAAGTGATCCTCCTAAGCAAGGCCATAAAAAATTAATTATCTTTCTGTTATCGTGTTTTACCTCGTTTTAATCTCGTCGCAGAATCTTCCGAAACCACCACCTGTTCCCAGACCGGTTCGATTAATCCGGTCTCTCCACGAGGCGTCATCCGCGTCGAGTTTCTCCAGATCCGACATTTCCATGCATATATACACACATATATACATGTACACATATATGTGTGTGTATGTATATATGTATACGTGTCGCATTTATACAAGTTTTTCAAGGATGCAAATGAATTCCGCCTTGCCTTTCGTAATTCCATAAATTCGTTGTTCGTCTGAACTGGCTGACAGACGGGAAGACGGGTGAAGTGGGGCGGTCGAGGGGGTGGAAAGAGGAGGGTGGGGGAGGGTTGAAACGGGGGTGGCGAGAGAGCGGACCGGATGGTGGCGACGCGATGAGAGAGGAGAGTGCGACGAGGAGAGAAAGAACTCGCGAAGGGAACGGTGGGGATGCAAGAATAATTGAAGACGAGTTCGGTCCGCGGGGTGGCGTCAGGGGTGGGTTGTTGATGGAGGCAGCACCAGATGTTATCTTCTTCCTTGGGGTGACGCCATCAACTTTTAGACAATGCGAGGACTTTTCGGCGAAATATCAAACTTCGGTCGCGTCTTGTCGTTGCCAACCTCCTTGCAACCCCCCCCCCCCCCCCTTCTTTCATCGCCTGCCTAGCTATCGCCAGCCTTCCGCTGCATTCGACACGGCGCGGCGAATCCACCGTGGCCGACGATTGTTATTAAAATGTAAATTTTCACGGAAAATTTGCTACCAATTTGCCCCAAATTTGCGTAATCGGATGCGATTTTGATAGTTGGATGGTGAATCGAATCCTTTTTCGTTCATCCCACTTTTTTTTAACGAAGCACGTATGGCGAATGCTACGAGACCTACTTGCGATTTCAATGGATGCGTGTTTTTTGACGAATGAAACACGTGGAAATCGAAATACACTCGCGAGATAAAAACCGGACTACAGGGGTGGCGAAAGGACTCGATGTCGCGCATTCTTCTTGCGTTGAACTTTTTTAACCAAAGTTAAAACTCTCTCCGTCGTATCCTCGACGATTCTGATCACCGACGGCGGGCGTAACAAGCTGTCCCAGTGGCCGTTCAGGCGCGAGTTAAAAGAGCCATCCGATTCATTGTGCCAAGAGAGGAGAGATCGGGGATGCGGAGATAGAAGCGGCGACCCTCTTTTTCTCCCCGAGGAGAAGAAGGTAGTACGGGCCAGCGATTATGGCCGTTCGAGTCGTGGAAAAGAATCGAATGATTTGATCTCGGCGCGATAAAAGGCCGAAGGTAAGCCTGCACGAGGATCGGGAAAGTGGTGGGCAAGGAGAGTTACGGGGGAGGGGAGCAGGTCGGTGAAACACGACCGCCTTCGAAAGAAAGCTTTGGGATCCAGGTAGTTCTCGACTGTCGGGAAAAGGAGACGCGGACATTTCCGATGCAAAGGCAAAAGAGTTGGAAAGAAAGAGCACGAGAAAGGGGTGGATTTCGCGTCGGGAGGGGTCAGGAGGTCTCGGGTACCTTTATCGACGCCATTCTTAGTCGTAAATTGAATCAAAAGGAGCGAAATGAGCAACCGCCTGCTACCCCCTGCTTTTCTTCGGTGTGGGCAGGAGGGGTTGAAGAAGTTGACTGGGAGACGGAGCAACGAGCGACGACGATGGCTACCACGGCGGGGGCATTTTAGCTGAAGTTAAAATGGCCCTTTAATCAATGTCCCTTCTTAACTACAAGCCATGAGATAAACGACCGGAAATGACGGTCTGATAAGAAAATTGCTTACCCGACGTCTCTCGAGAGAATTGCCTCGATTTTCCAGCATCCAGCGACGTGTACGTTCGGTCCTGACTTCGTAAATCGTTATCAAAATGGATGTCCCTCTCCTTCCACCCCCTCGCCCTCTTTTCTCCACGGTGTCCTGTCGCCACTTCGTTTCACGATTTCCAGCTCTCTCGGAATTCCACCGAGCCGTTTCTCGCGTGCCGTTTCGTCTCGCACGCAAACGAGATTTCTTGAACACCGCCGATAGTCTTATCGAGTAAAGCCGTCCCGTTGAACCTCGACTCGCCGATCTTCGATCGCTTCTTTTCCCATCATTTCTCTCTCTCTCTTTCTCTTTTTCTCTCTCCCTTGGTTCTTCGCGAGGAAAGCACGAACCGCGAGTATGACCCGGCGACGACACGTGAAAGCGTAGTACTCCTCTCCGATTTAGAATAGCTTGTTAACCGTGCAGCTCGTTGGTTACACCCTCGTTTGAACGCGGCGACTTATTGCAGATATCAATCTCTGGTATGCGAGCGGGCCTCGCATTTGCATGCACGCTGGCCTGCCTCGGCTACACGGCGACAGGTGCAGCCACTGCACTAAGATAACTCGGCATTTTTGCGCCAATTATTGGCATTTCGCAAAGTTTCGCCGGGTTGGATAAACCGGCGGCCTTAACGAGCATCGTATGGCATAATGCGTTCTCTTTGTTCGTGCGCGTCCTCCGCGTCGTTTGCGGGCGCAGCTGCCGGCGCAAGCGTCTCCTCCGGAAGACACGTAGCGACCGTTCAATTCGGCACGGCGTGCAATAACTCATGGGTGAAGGGTCAGGTCGTGTACTTGTTTAACTTATTTCGCGGCGAAACGACTCTATGACGCGGAAACGGCGTCCCCTCGTAAATCAAACACGCAGACAATGCGTGTTCTTCCTGTACATGGGACACGTATGTACGTCCCTTTTTCTTTGCGTCTCTTATCGTCCAGGTAAACTGATACTTGGCGTATCGTCCCTCGAAATTAACACTAAACAGTCCGGCACTTTATACATGCCTGTTCCTACTATTAGCGCAAGAATATTAACCCTTTGCACTCGATTGTCCCTTCTGAGGGAACATCGTACTTAGATCTAGTCAACAGCTTGGACTTTCTTCTTTTATAATTTGCTGATAATTATAACGAACGTATACATTTGGTGTTGTACGATGCGATGTATAATAATATGTCTGAACAAACGTGAAATAATATAATAACCTAGAGTGAAAGCTATAATAACCACGTAAGAACAAAAGGGTTTAAAAAAAAAAAGTTTCTCAAGACAGTCCTTAATTAATATTGATCATGTAAACTAGGCTTCTTGCTGCTTTTCACGAAAGTTGAAAAAATGGTGGAGGATATTATTTTTCCAGAAACTATTTAGGTATCATTAACTCTTGTATATTATACTTGTTTTAGCAAACCTGCAATGCACGTTGATGATTGATTTAAATTTAAAGCAATTTGAACGATATCACGTTAGAAAGACATAATTATATAAAATTTGGTAATCAGAAACGTTATAATTTTCAACTAATCAGGAAACATTATAATTTTCACGTCACAACTTTTACCACAATCAAAATCTTTAAAGTTTTTCGCGAGTTAAAATATTCGTCTCGTTTATACGTCAAAATTTCACTTTCGGTTAGACAAGTACACAGTCCAGCCCTTCTGTGAGATTATATACACCTTTGAATACCCAGAAGCCAAACTTAATAGTACGGCTAGTACAACCATGAGTAAGTTGCAATCGATCAGCTCTTTTTACGAAAGGAATACAGATAATTGTCAATTTCATACAGGCACAAAATAACTTTCGGATAACAAGAAAAAGAAATTATATCGATCAAGTTTTTTTGCGAAAGGAATACAGGTGATTGTTCAATTTCATACAAGCAACAACGCACAAAATAACTTTTGGATAACAAAAAAAAAAATTAGATTTTTTTTTAGTGAAGAGCTAAACGAACGAAAGAATGTAGAATTTTAAATCAAATTTTCAAACCGCTCATTTGACCAGGCGTTCAGTTAAAACGACAGAGGTCCGATGGCGCTCAGCGTTGACATTCATCCGTTCCGCGCAGCCGACTATCGACACACGCATCGAAACCGCGAACCGTGCAAGACCGTTCGCGTCTCTCGAATCTATCGCGACCGATAGAAACGGTTGTCGGTTGCGTATCTGGAGCAGCGTGGTCGGGTGATCCAGGCTAGACCGCGCGGCAATTATCATGCAAATGGCCGTCGGCCGTTTCGCAGCCACGAAATCGCGAGGAATTGAAATTCGTCGCTGCGAGCAGTGGAACGGCCGCGAGGGTTGTCGGCGAATTTTAATGCACGTTGAAACGTACGGTGAAAGGAAGGAAGAAAGAGAGAAACGTACCCGCGCGGATAGCCGAGACGTTTCGCGGTTGAGAAAAAGGGAGAATTGGAGGAAGAGGAAAGAAAGAAAGAGAAGAGGAAAGAGGATAGAAATGAGAGGGAAAGAGACGAGACGCGGAGGTTGGAATGGAGGAGTGTGGAAGGTGGAAGAGAGGACACGATGCTGCGAGAACGAGCGGCTCGACACGCTGTTAAGTATGGGTTTACGGCAGATACATATCGCGACGTATATATCGCGTCTCAGCTGAGGAAGTATGCGCCGTTGTCGAGGAGGTGTCGGCAGCCGACCGGGCACCGCGCGCCGAAAGATGCTTCCGATTGCTTGCACGCCGATGATTTATTTAATTACCAGCCAGGAAATGTCTCGATTTCTCTCGGCTAGATTGGAACGACGAGTTAGAATGGTACTTTGAAGATTTTATTTGCTCGTCGATTAGCAAAATGGTCCTTGTTGGCGAATGGCATCTCGTAGTGTTAGTTAACCACGAGAATTTTTCCACGAAATTCCATTTCTGTCTGTGAATTATCCACTCGATCGACAAATTCTCCTAAAATCGAGTGTATCGACGCTGTTCTTGACCAAGCTGGATATCTGTAACACTGGCCAAGAGCGCAGGTCCATAGCGCAGATAAACCACGCGTTGCATTCCCTTGAGATTTATACTTGGAAGAATGCGGCGGAGAGCAGCCTGCATCGTGAATCGAGAGGAACCATGAGAGGAACTACGAGCGAGGGAGGAAGGAAGGGGGATAAGGGTGAAGGGTTGCATCTCTGTATATACACAGCGAGCATGCGGCAGGAACAGCGACAAATATATCGAGGTATTTCAGAGGAATTGAGCCGCGCAGCTCGCGTTGCTGCGCTTTTACCGCGGGGTCACGCGAAATATGCTCGTTCCTTCTTCGACAATTTGATCCCACCGAGGAGATAGCATTGTGGTCCTGGTGAACGCGCGTGAGTATACGCTACTTCGATGCCTGGTGAACCCCGCCACGACCATGTAGTAACGGTGACCAACGCGATCCTTGTTTCCTCTCTCTCTTGTTCCCTGCCTTCGGTTCTATTTGTTTCTTCGTTCGTTGCGGATATATTTATATACCGCGACCGAGACCCATCGATAGTACCGTGTGCTTTTCCAAGTTCGTACTTAGTCGTCGGTATTCGAGCGTCCTATGTCTTTTCTCCGCTATCCGTCGCTGTATGCTTCCTTGCCTTTTTTTCTTTTTTTTATTCGTACCTCTTTCTGCGGATTTCTTTTTGTCTCTAGGATTTACGCTCTCTTTGATTTGCAACAATTAGATCCGGGTATTTTATGAGATACAATGAAAGTAAAGTTATTGCTACTAGATACCCGATATCCGAAATGATAAAACAAATATAATTTGTTGTATGATATCATTATATTATTATATGATTATTATATAATAATTATGATACGTCCACTAGAATTATGGAGGAAAAAAATATCCAAGATTGGCAAACTTTGCCAAAAAGTATTTGGCAAGTTAAAAAATATGGCAAATTAAAATGGAAAAATATTAGAATTATTGCTAGTTCAAATGGAAAATTTAGACTTATTAGTATTTTTCTTAGTACATAAAGACTAATCTAATCTTCCAAATCTAATTACTGTAACATTGTTTTATCATTTACTGCTAAATGACATGTATCGGCTATGACATAAATCTCAACTATGTATTCGGATGTCACGTTACTAATAATGTTAAAAAAGAAACAGAACTGGTCGAAGAAAACTACGAATGAAACAACGGGTTAGTGAATCGATTGCGAAACTCGAACCGTTTAACAAGTAGTTATTTCGCCAGATTTTCTCGGTAAAAACACGTCATTAGAGCAGCTGTTACACGAGCCGACCAAAGCGCATTACCTCTCAGCCTCTCTCAGATCTTCCCCCGATTCCACCGGGTTTCGAAACGACTTTCGGCGTTCCCGTGATGCTCGATTTGCCCGCGCGATTCTACGCGACGTCCGCGCATGTTTTAACACGTGTTTCACACAAAAATCCACTCGGCGATCCGACCGATAAGCGGGGCCGATCTTGCCACGGCTCGGCGGGACGCGCGGTGCCATTATACCCCCGTCGCGATTTTTCGATCCTCTTCGCTGTAAATATTCCCTGGGCACAGCCGTGCCACGATCTTTCGCGCCAGCGGATTCCAATAGGTTTCCTTCCCTTTCGTCGCCTTGCCGTTTCGGGAATGTCGTTTTCAGATCGCTATCGCGCACCTCACTTCTGCGTGAACCGAGCCTTCGGCACCGTCGTTTCGCCAATCTGCCGTTTCAGCTTACACCGCGTTGGTCGCGGTAAAAATTAGCTTTTCATGACCCCCGTAATTGCTAGTCGCCGTAATATCGGTAATTGGGCCTTTTGACGAACGAAATCGAGGTGTAAACGGTCGAATTCCACGGATTTTTGTACCGTTTTGTTCGATATTTGGAATTTTTATTCGAACGTGACTGCGAGTCAATGGATGTATAATTGAATTTCTTCTACCTTTGTACAAATTTGAACGTGAAACCTTGAGAACATTCAGTTTTTTTAAAATTTCGAGTCTGAAAATTTTAAATTCTCAAACGTTGAAATTCTCACACGATGTGACGGGCAAATTTTCAGCTTTGCGATCTGTCGAGTCGCTCGAATGGATATAGTCAAACGTACAAAAAAAAAAAAAGAAAACGAATCATCGGTTTCTGTCTCACACGATTCGTAAATTTGGGGATTTTCGAATATGGAACGACTCTCTCGCGTCCGTTCTTTCGTTCGCCAGCGAGATTTCTGGCTGCTAATGTAGCGGAGCAGCGGAATTCGCGTTACCGTAATTCAAACGGCGGCAATCTGCGATTTCTGGCGTGGCGCTTCATCATAGTTTCGCCATTAGCGTTACGCCATTTATTTCGAGGCAGAGGTTTTTCTTTTTTTTCTTTTTTTTTTTTTTTTTTTTTTTAATCCCGTTTCGTGTTCCCGCGGTTATTTTTGCAGCCACGCGCATTCAGTGCTCGCTGCTAGAGACACGTCATAAAATACACGCGTGTCGCCGTTTCAAGTGAACTCGAGCATGCAGAATCCATAAAAGTGACGAAGACACAGATTGCCAGACGGATACGTATAACCTGCCGCAATGTAACGCATCGTGCCCCCGTCTCCCCTCTTTTCGTCGTGATTTTCTCGCTTTTTCCACGTTTCCCCGTCACCCTCCTCCCTCCCCTAGCCCGATTTATTCGCTGTAACACCATCAAGTTTCAACATCAATTACGCAACCGTTCCGGCCAAACTCTTTTTTTTTTCACTTGACCACTCACTCATCGCCTGTTAGCCGCGCGAAAATTTCCATGAATTTATCCAATTCATCTTCGCTTTTATACGCGACCCAACGTGCGACCAACCGCTACAACCGCGAACACTGCGTTATGAACTAAGGTAGATGATAGACATTTTCTGCCACATACCAACCTATTGCTCGGTGTGTTTTTCACGTAATCAAAAAATTGAATTTTGATTTATAGCAGAGTTATTCAGAGATATTTATTCAGTTTGTAAATATCGAGAGCATCGAGCACTCTTTAGAAACTGAATTGATATTTAAAAGAAATTTAATTATCATTAATTGATGATTAGTAATCAGTGTCATGAATTGAATTGATATCAAAAAACGGAATGAAAACTCGTCGGCACAGTTTGAGGCTTTTCCTTCCATTGGGTTACATACTTTTGATAAAGTAAAAATTGAGAAATTATACTTTCTGTTATTACGATTCTTTCAGAAGACTCTAGAATTAATTTGGAAAATAATTAATTTAGAGTTTCTATCCTGGAGCATTTAAAAGCGTTCTTCTCGGAATGAAATTTTCAAAATCGGTATCAGAAATATTTAAAAGACTATCGAATCAATGTAGATAAAAATTTCTGGTAATAGCCAAAAGCATAAGATTATTATTTATAATTGAAGCGAAATTTTGATTCGTGCATTTTGTCTTGTTCTTTTTTTTATTACCAGGAAGAGTTGAAAATTCACGATGAAAATTACATGTTCAAGTTCGGATAGCTGTCATTTTTTTAAAAAATTGATATTTTAGATTGACTTTGTATTAGTTCGTACAATTTGACATAAAATTAAACAACTTTACCTTAGATAAAACCTGAGATTAAATGACCGTCATGTCTTTCGTATATTTATTAGAAATTTTTCGCACTTACTTATTGAACAACAAGATGTACGTATTATCTTTTTAAATGAAATATATTAGACTGTGTAAAAATTCGTTTGCCCCTCGGTGTTACAATTTTGAGAACATTTGCGATGGATAATCTACATAATCTTTCCATATTGAATAAAAAAACGTATTGTTATTTACAGTTGTAAAGAAAACGAACACTAGAAGTATTTCAAGTATAATGTGAAACTAATAATATAATATGCAATATTTAAAATATTCAAGGAATCACTTATTATCACAGAAAATATTGGAGTTATGATTGATGGTTTTAAATTCACTGAAACATTTACTCTACTATTATCATTGGAATGTTAATCGTTTCAAGAAAGGCGCCTTTTACAGATAATAATTATTCAAAGAACACAAAAATACGCGCATTACATGCATGCAATATTTTAATATTATAAAAAAATGAAATTTATATAAAGAATAATCAGTTGCACAATATTCATCACCGATGGTGCGAACGAATTTGTTACACAACCTGACTTTCCTTATTTTGCGACTTCAACAGTACGTAACTCACTGAGAATTTTCTCAAACTTACAATCTTAATTAATTTGCCTCTTTCGTTTCAATTTCAAAGCGAACAAATTTCCGAATGTTTTCGCCCGAAACGTTCATTAAACAATTTTCTCAATAACTAATTTTCACGTTTGCTCTTAGATCGGAAGCACGTGGTTCGCGGACCAAGGCATAAACAGGGCCGCGTGGGCGCGTCTATGTGATATAATGTCACGTTGGTACGCTACTGGCCGGGATAATACAGCTACACGAAGATATTATAGGCAGGCAAGCGGTACGATCGCGCCTCGATGAGAAGTGGGTTGTTAGGTACGCACGGACAACCCGCCATAATTCACCGGCGACCCGCGAATTATGGAGTGGTTTGCTCCGGTGTTGCACGACCGGACGACCGACGCGCACCTGGAAAACGACCGACGCGACCTGCTCGGTTCGAGATCCGAGATTCAGCCTCGATCGTTTCTCATCGCGGTACTTAACTCGTCCAGAAAATATCGTCCGTCTCTTGGACTGCTTTATTAGCAGCCACCGGCGACACGACGAACGAGTGTCGTTGGAAATTGTTCGTGAAACCTGTCCGATATTACGACGGATCGCCAGGGATCGATAAGATTAAGGTACACCAATTGCGCGATTCGGCGTTAACTTTTGTGTAATTAAACTATATACCGTTATTGAGTTGAGGACTTGATGCTCGTGCGTTCGTTTCACGCACCGCCATCATTTTGTGGGCAGATGTCGAAGAATATCGGAACAAGAAAATTAGCATTCAGCGTGTTCTCTGCGAGCATCTGTATCTTCGTTCCTACTTGACCATTCGATAAGTATCGGGTGAAACACCAGACAATATTTCTGCCGAGTTCTCACGTAATGCTTGTAGTAGGCGAATGTAGTCGGCTGTCATTGATCAATCGATACCTATAACTTATCTCGATTCGTATCTTTCATCGAATTTTCCAATTATTTGCAAGTTGCGCAATAGAGCAAGCGTGTCAATAAACGATAGCAACTCTTTCATCGGATGCTGTATCTCTCGAAAGTTCCAACTGGAAGTGTATAAAGCTCGAGTCTTTGAAGCTTCAAGACTCAACTTTAAAAGCTGAGTCTTTAAGATTAATTTTTTACGAACTTTCAAGACCAAAGCTTTAAAACTTGGATCTCGAAGCTCCTAAAATTCGTGGGTAATATACTGAACGATCATCGATATACAATGACGAGCAAAACTGAACACGCATATAGAATTTTGACATAAATAATATTTGATCAAGTATTTTATTCAGATATTCACGTGCACGTAAGAACATTGAAAAATTTTATTTATGACTAAATCCATCGCGGTCTTGAAGATTCACCTCTAAAACGATTCCTTTTATTAAATTTTGAAGATTAAGGTTAATCGACAAAAATTCAAGAAATTCTAATATTTTGTCATTTAATGTTCAGAGTTCAATAAAATGGCAAAAGAAAATCGTACAGTTTTAAAGGGTCAAGTTATAAAGAGGAGATTTCAATTTTTAAGATTATGGAGAATTTAGTAATGAGAGAAATTTTTTAACGTTTCTAGATTTTCTACAATTTTCCACTCATTACGCGAGG